AATTAAAGGTGTATTGGCCCTTTAGAGCCACCTGGCAGACAATGCTGGGAGACTGCACACTGGGTCGGTGTACCCTTCCTGTCAGGGGAGTGGCTAGAGGAAAATAGACCTCGGCCACCCTTTTACAGCTGGGGTTCAGGGGTGGGTGCAAATGGAAATGGTCCCAAGAACCTGTGTGGCAAGTGCTAATAGAAAATAATGACAAATGGTTTCTAATGGGGTCCGAGGTGTACTATCCACGCATAGGCTTAGTATGGGTGGGACAGAGAAATACATGGGAGGGATGGCCACAGGGACTGCCGCCCCTGCAGTGCATAGAACCCGTACCCCCTCAGCATTGGATGGAACAGCGAAATAAAATTTGCTGGGAGAGATTGGCTGTGCTTAATGGCAAGGTTTTGGAGGGTGGAAGGTGTGTGGAGCGGGTGGGATTTGGACCAGGAAACTTTTCCTTGTAACAACCTTTTATGTAATTGAAAAACTGTTATGTCCTCTCTCAGTCATCTCTTTTCCAGATTAAACAAACCCATTTTTTTTTTTCAATTTGCCCTCATAGGTCATGTTTTCTAGATCTTTAATCATTTTTGTTGCTCTTCTCTGGACTTTCTCCAATTTGTTCACATCCTTCATGAAATGTGGTGCCCAGAACTGGACACAATACTCCAGTTGAGACCAAATCAGAGTGGAGTAGAGCGGAAAAATTACTTCTCATGTCTTGCTTACAACACTCCTGCTAGTATATCCGAGAATGATGTTTGCTTTTTTTTGCAACAGTGTTACACTGTTCACTCATATTTAGCTTGTGATCCAATATGACCCCCAGATCCCTTTCCACAATACTCCTTCCTAGGCAGTCATTTCCTGTTTTGTATGCATACAACTGATTGTTCCTTCCTAAGTGGAGTACTTTGCATTTGTCCTTATTGAATTTCATCCTATTTACTTCTGACCATTTTTCCAGTTTGTTCACATCATTTTGAATTTTAATCCTATCCACCAAAGCACTTGCAACCTCTCCCAGCTTGATATCATCTGCAAACTTCATAAGTGTACTTTCTATGCCATTATCTAAATCATTAATAAAAATATCAAACAGAACCCAACCCAGAAATGATCCCTGCAGGACCCCACTCAATATGCCCTTCCAACTTCACTGAAAAACACTGATATAACTACTCTCTGGGAACGCTTTTCCAACCAGTTATGCACCCACCTTATAGTAGCTCCATTTAGGTTGTATTTCCCTAATTTGTTTATGAGAAGGAGTATCAAAAAAACTTATTAAAGAAGAGCTTTTTCTGTAATAAACCTCCAAGGTCTCAATACAGACTGTGACGGTGCCCCCCATAAGGCTTTATGGAAATATGCTTATGAATATATATGACATAACTGGACTATGTTCTGTGCTACATATGCATGTAACATATCTATGTAAACATTATGATCTATTAATCCTGTTTGTATGAATGTATCATTTTTGTATTCAAAGTTATGAATATTGGCTGTGTACTGGCTTGATTTCTAAATAACCTTAGTAGAGCATTTGGTCAGTTCCTGGAGAAAGGAATTCACAAAGTTAAGTGCCCAATCAAGAAGCACTTAAGGAACAATGCATCTTGGAATGCTCCAATCCGCGTAAGAAGTCTTCCTGGAGACATTCAAGATACCATGTGGGCAATGGCTTCTTCCTGTAAAAACTGTGAGTCATGCATGGACATGTGGCTTGCCCAGGTGACTCCAGAACTCCATCTTGGAGCTGGACTTTGCATAGGTGAGAGAAGGGGATCTCCACCCACAAGAGAAAGTCCATTTAAGCCCGTGGGCGACCCCTCCATTTTGTCTTCAGCTGGCTAAAGAGACAGCCTGTCCACCCCCAAAGATACCTGAAAGAAACTGGAACAAAGGACAATAACTAGAGGGGGTGTGAGTGATTGCTGGACCCAGAGTAGCAGGAGACTAGTCTGTAAAAGGAAGCTTACTGGAACTGGTGAGGTGTTATTTGTATTAAGTTTATTAGACATAGACTTGCGTGTTCTATTTTATTTTACTTGATAATTCACTTTGTTCTGTCTGTTACTACTTGAAACCACTTAAATCCTAGTTTCTGTATTTAATAAAATCATTTTTTACTTATTAATTAACTCAGAGTATGCACTAACACCTGGGGGGGGGGCAAACAGCTGTGCATCTCTCTCTATCAGTGTTATAGAGGACAAACAATTTATGAGTTTACCCTGTATAAGCTTTATACAGGGTAAAACGGATTTATTTGGGTTTAGACCCCATTGGGAGTTGGACATCTGAGCGTTAAATACAAGAACACTTCTGTAAGCTGCTTTCAGTTAAGGCTACAGCTGTTAGGGGACGTGGTTCAGACCGTGGGTCTGGGTTTGCAGCAGGCTAGCGGGTCTGGCTCAAACCAGGCAGGGCACTGAAGTCCTAAGCTGCCAGAGCAGGAAAGCAGGGGCAGAAGTAGTCTTGGCACATCAGGTGGCAGCTCCCAGGGGGTTTCTCTGATTCAACCCGTCACACAGACCAATGACCAAATGTCCCAGTTAGCAATTATTTTCTGAGTTGATTTATGGGAGGATTAGAAGATTGCTTTTTGGCGATAAGACTGTGAACACTAAGGCCAGGCTTCTGCAAACGTGCCTGAGCTGATCTTTAAGCATGCAGGTACTCCTTACGTGCTCAAAGTTAAGGATATGCTAACGTGTTTGCAGTCTTGGTGCTTAAACCACTAGTTCAAATTAAGCCCTGGTTAGCAGAACGGAAATGCATTATTATTTTATTAGGATTTGATGGCCTATTTGGTGACAGGATGGTCTCACTTGATGGACATGTCACATGTCTACATTGCAACTGAACGTCTGTAGTCTCTGCAGAGAAGTCAAGGACTTACTTTGTATGGGGACTGAACTCTCTCGGGGGGGAGGGGGGTTTCTAGGTCACATTTGAGGTGCATTGCAGAGCAGCATGGGGGAAGTTTACATTGCTACTGTCCACGTCTTCCCAGATAATGTCAGGCACTCTAGTTACCTTTTATAACCAAAATATGACTTCAAATAATGATTAAAAGTTGCTATATTATCAGTAGGGAAAACAGGATGTGTTCCACACAGAGATTAACATTTACAGAGCTAAAATAAAAGCACAAAACCGCAGATTGTAGACCTTTTCATTTCATTAACAGAAGGACTAGACAGATGAGGCCAATACAAAAATGCCCTTTATTCTCTCACCTCACCTGCTTGCCTACTTATAATAGCCCAGCTGGCATAGTAGCTGTCCTGCTTAAGCAGATTTCCCCAAAAGGGTTAGTTCAGATAAGAAGTTCTTCCTTCAGCAATAGTTCAAAAAGAAAAAAAGTAAAGCTTATAACACAGCAATGAATACGCACATACCCCAGCCCTCTTAGCCTCTGGTTATATCCTCTTTCCTTTTCTATCTCTTCTCCCTGCTCTGGGGAAATCAAGAGTATGTTGTTAATTAGATTTGATAAGACAGCAGGAGTCTCTAGATAAATGTTGACAAGTCTAATTGCTGGTCACAGCTGTAGGACTTCTCACTGCTTGGGAACCTAGGATGGGGTTTTAACCCCCAGTTTACCAATGCCAGGTTCCAAAAGGGGTTAATCTAACCTTCATAATATGAATGTATCTCCACGTTAAAGTAGCAAACAGTGCTCCATTATAAATCCTTATTTTCTCTGTCTCTCTCATACACAGATTCTAAGATATAGTTAAAGTAGACACTGTTCTGAATTTGTCTGTAATTAAGTATTCTACTTTTTGAAGACGGGAAGAGGGGAATGATTTTCAGAAACTTTAACTTAAATGTTCAGTTTGAATGCAACTTCCCCCAGAAGCACAAGTTGATGGAATGCATGGGGGCTCCAGCACTGGGATAGGGGAGACAGGGAGTTATGCTCAATAAATAGCTTTTGCACTCTTCTCTTAGAAGTATGTATACACACAAGCACACATATAGGTATGGAAAAACATAATTGGGCCCTAACAAGGCAAACATACGACTGGTTCTATTCAGTACAATGGGCCTATTCACATGCATAAGTGCTAGAAGAATTGGTGTCTTAGCTTACAATGACAGACACTAGTTATTCTATGGTTGACTGGTGCTTACTAATATCCTGCTCCTGCAATCAGATCTGTGTGAGCTCACATCAGTCAACAGAACTCTGCATGGGCACAAGGGTCCAACTGTGGGGATCCAAATTCAGGATTGGAGCCTCGGTCTACAAGTGTACAGTTTACTAATGGTTGCTAATCATATTGCTTTCTACCCATTTGCCTTTGCCAACAGTGACTATTAGTATAATTACTGGTAACTTTTTTTAATGTAAGTATTAAATGCAAAAAACATTACACTTGTGCAATTAAGGCTATACTCTCTCTAATTAAAAGATCACATGCATATCTTTGGTCCTGATGCTGCAATGAGCTCAGAGTCTGATTCAATGACCATTGAGTTAATGGTTCCATTGGCTTCAATTGGATCCTCGGAGCAGCAAACGCTGTGCTCATGTCGAGCCCCTTTGAGTTCAAGGAGGCTTTGCACACATGCGGGCATCTGCCCACATGGAACTTATTACCTACCTGGGGCCTGAGCTTGTAGAAGACACTACATTATGTTTGGTTGCATTATTTTAGACCTTGTATGCAGTACAGTTCAGTGTACACACACAAAGGAGTAGAGTTAAAGTTGTCCCAGGTATTAGTTTTTACATTTTCTGACTTTTGTGCCACTTTATCAATACTTTAATATAGTTTAATATTTTATACATTTGGGCAATAATCATACATTCCCTACACAAAGCTATTCCATAAAAACTTCCAAATATTAATATTTGAATACTTGTCATCACAAGTTCTCTGACTTGAGTTGAAGGCATATCTTGTTCCTTTTAAGTAGTTTTACATTAAACATGAATTAAAATCTGAAGAAACTGAATTTGTATTTTCTTTCCTTTTATCAAACAGGTCTCAGAATACGATTGTTCAATTTTTCTCTCAAGTTATTAAGCTGTTTGTTATATATAATTCGAGTGCTCCTGGATGATCCTACACAAGGACATGGATGGTAAGATTTTCTTTTTTATTTGCCCTCTCAAAGTACTACTTATATTGCATGAAACGGATCAATCGTTCTTGATGCTTATAAATATTTGATGTTCTGTCAACAGGGATTTAGTTTTAGAGTTTATAGATGGTTGTGGTGCAGCATGAATTGCAAAACTAATCCAGTCTTTCTGAGTGAATATGATAAAGTATCCAATGAAAATGTAATATGATTTTCTTTCAATCAAAAGCATTTTGCTCCTTATTACTGAAAGTGCTTACTGTATATTTGTTCATATTGTGTAATAGTCTCTGTGGAATGATGTAGCTGTGCCACTGCCCATATCTTTTTGCCAAGTTACTGAATAACATTTCAGATTGATTTATAATGTATATGACACAATGAATAAATCATTGCCATATTCCAACTCCTCTACTTGTACACCCTGCCACAGGTCAGGACAACTGCACCTCTATTCCCTTATTATGGTCCACCAAGGGTACCCACTCTCAGACTTCTGGCTCCTCAGCCTGCACCTTTCTTGGATTGAGATGTGCATCTCTCTCCCCCTCCTGGCCAGGGTTTCTTCAGGCTGCACAATTCCCTGCCTACCCTGAGAGTTCCCCAGCAAGTCAGACATCTAAGTAGACCTGCTTTGCTTTCTCTTTAAAGGTTTTAAGCAACATAGTTGCCCACAATTATAAGTTACCACACAGCTTTTCCTAAGCTGATTCTTATTTTTAATAGGAAAGCATAACAGAGAAAACATTAAAACAATAAAAGAACCCACACATGCTAGTAAGCTTACCAGAGATCACCCTAACTCCAGCAAGGGCTATGGTAGGAGTCAGTCCTTCAAACCCTACACAGGAGTTTTTCCTGTGGTTACAACTTCATAACGGCCTTGGCTCGGGACAAGCAACACTATGAATCTAGGAGTCACTCTTTTATACAATTTGCGCCTCTGGTCTTGTCCTCTTGTAACAGCTGATCAGCAGACAAAAGTCCCCTTCTCAAGGCGAAGGTTGAAAAGGCTGAGTTCTTGCATAAGTGGAGGGAGTATATTTGTATACCCCTTCCCTAGAGATTTCATGGGAAACTCACTCAACTTTAAGTGTTCATTCTTGCCTGGCACATAATTTCAAAAGTCTTTTGAAGGTCATAACACTTCCCAGGGTTTATGCTAGCTATGTCTCCCTACAGAGATATTACACAATAATATGTAAATATTTGCATTTTTAATACAATGAATTACTAAAATATTTAAACTTAATTCAGTACACCTTGGTTTAACGTTATACGGTAAGGTTTGTCTAGGACATTGCAGGAAATTGTCATCTCTAACCATATCCATCATTTTAGGTGCATAGTGGGAGGATGATTGGCAGGTGAGGAAGCAGGGAGCATGCACTGGGAAGATGGGCGGAGAACCTGAAGCCCCTGCCTTTGAAAGAGCAGGGAGTGACTTGCAAGAGGAGGTATCCACCATGCAGACAGTCTAAGCTGTGCAGTAATAGAGTGGGGCTGTGGAGCTATTTGTAGCAGGAGCCTGTCCCAGGAGCAGCACTTTAAAGATATTGAGGCGTGAAGCCCCACTCCTGGCAACGTAATCCTACTGCATGTAAAACAGTTGTTTCTTTCTCCTTGGCTCCCCTTCTCCAGTTTATGAACCATAGCGATAGCTGAATGATTGCACGCACACTGCAGCAGCACTCTGATGTTGCTGCACAACTTAGGGCCTCAAGTATCAGGGGGTAGCCGTGCTAGTCTGTATCCACAAAAACAACGAGGAGTCCGGTGGCACCTTAAAGACTAACATTTATTTGGCAATAAGCTTTTGTGGGTAAAAAACCCACTTCTTCAGACGTATGGAGTGAAAATTACAGATGCAGGCATAAATATACTGACACATGACGAGAAGGGAGTTACCTTACAAGTAGAGAACCAGTGTTGACAGGGCCAATTCAATCAGGGTGGATGTGGTCCACTCACAATAATTGATGAGGAGGTGTCTTCTATGGAGAAAACACCCATGGGTTCTGGAGCAATAGCACAGGGAACCAGCTCTCTGGACTCTTCACCCTACTAGCTCAGTTCCCCAGCAGCCCTGACATTCCTAGCTTTCTTCCCTACCTTCCACTTGGAGCTGGTGGAAATTGGGATTTTTCCTCTGTAGAAAACTAACTTTTTGCTGAAAAACACCAAACGAATATTTTGGCCACATTCTTGAATTTCAATTTCCCGATGAATATCTTAGAAAAGCAGACACTTTTGCAGAAAGTGTGCATTTAGCTGAAAATCCAGTTTTCCTTTAAAAAAAAGTTGATAGAAGTTTTTGATCAGCCCTGCACCTAGTACCTGTGTCCCAATAACTGCAGCCATGGTGCAGAGAGCTGGCGACAGGCATTCAGAAGCAGCATCGACTCCTATATGGATTTACACTGAAAACCTGACAGGTTAGGGGTGGGGCAACAACAACATACTGTGTTTCATAGCTCATCTCTAGCTCCATTCCCATTACATGAATCCCCAACTGCACAGGATCCTCATAGAGGGAAAAACTGCTGCTCAATCCTTCCACACTTCCTAATCCAGTTTCCATGACTTTCCCTCTAATTCATCAGACTAAATGCTAAGCAGAAAATTTGTGAGCTGTAGCCTATAGGCCATATTCTACACTAAATGAAGTCAGTTTTATTATTCACTTAATGGCAGTAGAATTGGTCCCTATTAGGTCAACAGTGAACATTTTTAAAAGTTCTAATACTGGAATGTTTTATAAAAAGAAAAGCAGAAAATACTGGAAAAATTAAAGCAGAAAGAAATGATGAGATGTAAACTAGAATCTGTATCTTACAATTCCAGATCTAATAGAGTTAGTGTGCAAGCATAGCTATGGGTCACATTAGAATCAACATGAGCTCAATTACAATTCAAACATCACTATTCTTTGTTAGTTACAACACTTGCAATTTATGCAGAAACTTAGGGCTGGTCTACACTACTGCTTAAGTGAATGTACCATATGTCGGTCAGAGGTGCGAAAAAGACACCCCCCGGCAGAGCGACACAAGTTACAGTGACCTAAGTGCTGTCCACACTGGCGCTATGTCAGCGGGAGACGCTCTCCTGCCGACATAATGCGTCTTCACCAGACGTGCTACAGTGGTGCAACTGCACCGATGTAGTGCTGACTTGCCATTAGAAAATTGCAAGTTACACCACAGTCTAAGGCAGGGGTCTCAAACATGCGGCTCAGGGTTCTTTCGTGTGGCCCGCGCGTCCCCCCGCCCCTCTGTCTACCCCGTGGCGCCGCGAGCCCCACACCGCTCCCTGAAGCGGCTGGAACTATGTCCGTGCAGCCCCGGGCGGGGGCAGGGAGGTGAAGTAGAGGGCTCCGTGCTCTCGCTTCCAGGCACAGCCCTCTGCAGCTCCCATTGGCCAGGAACGGGGAACCGCGGGCAATGGGAGCTTTGGGGGAGGTACCTGGAGGAGCAAGGGCAGCACATGGTGCCGTTCCACCCGCCTCCCCCAGGGCTTCGGCTGCTTCCTGGAGTGGAGCAGAGTGGAGCGAGGCCAGGGCCAGGGCCAGGGCCAGGGGCTAGGGCAGGCAGGCAGGGAGCCTGCCCTGGCCACGGTGCGCGGTGCTGCCACCCCAGAGCCGCTCTAGGTAAGCGGCACCGGGCCAGAGCCCGCAACCCAACCCCCTGTCTGGAGCCCCCTGCCACATCCCACACCCTCCCACACCCCAACTCCCTGCCCTGAGTCCCCTGCCACACGCTGCACCCCAACCCCCTGCTGCACCCCTCACCCCTCCAGCACCCCACACCCCAACTCCCTGCCCTGAGCCCCCTGCCGCACCCTGCACCCCAACCCCCTGCCACACCCCTCGCCTCTCCTGCACCCCATACCCCAATTCCCTGCCCTGAGCCCCCATCACACCCTGCACCTCTCCTGCCCCCCCTGGGGGCAGGGAGGGGGCAGAGTTGGGGTGAGGACTTCAGGGAAGGGGTTGGAATGGGGGCAGGGAAGGGGCAGGAAGAGGCGGGACCTCATGGAAGGGGTGGAGTGGGGGCGGGGCCAAGGGCAGCAAGGGGTGGGTGTCAGTGATGCAGCCCTCGGGCCAATGCACTAGTCCTCATGCGGCCCTCGTGGTCATTTGAGTTTGAAACCCCTGGTCTAAGGTGACAGTCCTGCAAAAACTCAAGAATGTGTTTAGCTACATGAATGTGTGTAGTACCATTGACCACTACCATAAGTAAAGTTACCTACAAATGTAAGTGTTTGCTTCGTGAGAGCCAAAGAGTCTCCAACTGCCACTCTAACCAGTCACGGTTAATGCTCTTTTAGTTCTGGTAATGGCTATATTGTTATTTGATTTTAATTCTTTACAGACAGATTGTTTTAACTATTGCCTATTTCTTACTGCAATAAGTTTTGTCTATTACTGTTGTAATAGAAACAATCCCCCTTCAATCCTTTCTTTTCCTGACTATCCAGGAGATCTAGCCTATCTTACTTCCTTGTTGCTATCCAGAGATAAGGGATGAGTGTGCCTCTCTTCTACCCTGCCCATCTCTACTGCATAGCTATAGGCTGTCAGAGTAATAAAAACCAGTCAATGAGATGGGGACGTATTAGTGAAAGACTCCAAAGATCCTGGTGGCTTTCTAGGGTGGAGGCAGCAATCTATATCATGAGCTCTCTACTGATTTTTCTTGCTCCAGCATGCCCACTGTGGAACAGCGTAGAAACGTACTGTATATTTCACTCTGTCATTTATACATGCAGTTTATTTCATGATGTGAATAATTTGGGTAAATTTATATGTGTTCTCAAACGTAGAAAGTGCTCTCTTGGGGCACGATCCATGAGATCCTTCAAGCTGTTAAATTTAAGTAGTTTGAGTACAAAAACTTCCTAAAACCTAATTACAGTGCAACTATTATTTTTTATAGTTGAGTTATTCTCTTAAATCCCATTCCTCAATGGGGAACAGCACAACTTTAGGAGTTGAGAACAACGTGTAATGTAAAAACAGGGAGATGCATGAAAATGAGAAATATGGATGGGGAAACAATAATTTCTAAATCTTTCTCAAGTTATAAACCAAACATATTTTATTTACATACATGCATTAGGCATATTACTGTTGGAAAACAATGTACGTCCTTTCCAATAAGTTAAAAAATACAAATGAATGTAGTTAGAAAAGCAGCACCAGGTGCCTTTTTAAAAGTAAAACAAAGATATTTGAATAATTTTTCTATCTGGTGCCCATTCTTACAACAATATGGTATAACATGAAGCCCAAACATTTCTGCTTTCTAGACCCAGAGTGTAGGTTCAATTAATGCAATTTTCTAGTAAAAGGGAAACAAAAGCAAGAAAAAGGAACAGATGTTTTAAAAATTACTGATAGCTTCTGGTATGATTAAGCTGCTGATATTTTTGTATGAAACCTAATGAATTAGTGATGCTAAATGAGTGTAATGAGGCTAAATGAGTATACTGTAAAGCATATGCAAGCATCTTACTTTTGGATATGTGCTACATTTTAAAAGATGAGGTAGGCAGTAATCACCCCAGTATTCATTGCTTGAAAGTACACTTAGATACTGCTATACTCACATAGAGCAATATATAATTCTCTAGGCCTTGCCCAAACTACTTATTCTTTGATTCTAAATATCTAATAATTAACTAGCCGGGGAATGCATGTCCCTTCATTCTGTGTTGTCACATTAGAACTTAAGAACGGCCATACTGGGGTCAGATCAAAGGTCCATCTAGCCCAGTATCCTGTCTTCCAACAGTGGCCAATGCCAGGTGCCTCAGAGGGAATGATCAGAACAGTTAATCATCAAGTGATCCATTCCCTGTTGCCCATTCCCAGCTTCTGGCAAACAAGGGCTAGGGACACCATCCCTGCCCATCCTGGCTAATAGCCATTGATGGATCTATCCTCCATGAATTTATCTAGTTCTTTTTGAACCCTGTTATAGTCTTGGCCCTATCAACATCCTCTGGCAAAGAGTTCCACAGGTTGACTGTGCGTTGTGAGAAAAAAAATACTTCCTTTTGTTTGTTATAAACCTGCTGCCTATTAATTTCATTTGGTTCTTGTGTTATGAGAAGGAGTAAATAACACTTCCTTATTTACTTTCTCCACACCAGTCATGATTTAATAGATCTCTATCATATCTCCCCTAGTCATCTCTTTTCAAAGCTGAAAAGTCCCAGTCTTATTAATCTCTCCTCATATGGAAGCCATTCCTTACCCCTAATCATTTTTGTTGCCCTTTTCTGAACGTTTTCCAATTCCAATATATCTTTTTTTGAGATGGGGCGACCACATCTCCATGCAGTATTCAAGACATGGGCATACCATGGATTTATATAGAGACAATATGATATTTTCTGTCTTATTATCTATCCCTTTCTTAATGATTCCCAACATTCTGTTCGCTTTTTTGACTGCTGCTGCACATTGAGTGGTTGTTTTCAGAGAACTATCCACAATAACTCCAAGATCTCTTTCTTGAGTGGTAACAGCTAATTTAGACCCCATTATTTTATATGTATAGTTGGGATTATGTTTTCTAATGTGCATTACTTTGCATTTATCAACATTGAATTTCATCTGCCATTTTGTTGCCCAGTCACCCAGTTTTGAGAGATCCTTTTGTAGCTTTTCATATGCTGTGTATTTATACTCTACTGTATTTTCCACTCCATGCATCTGATGAAGGGGTTTTAGCCCACGAAAGCTTATGCCCAAATAAATTTGTTAGTCTCTAAGGTGGCACAAGGACTCCTCATTGTTTTTGCTGATACAGACTAACATGGCTACCACTCTAACCTTTTGTAGCTCTTCATAAGACCTTCCCTCTTATCCCATGACAGCTTACCTTCCTTATGAGCCAAAGGCTTTCTGAAAATCTAAGTGCACTATATCCACTGGATCCTCCTTGCTCACATGCTTGTTGACCCCTTGCTGAGGCATGATTTCCCTTTACAAAAACTATGTTGATTCTTCCTCTCCGCCCCAAAATTATGTTTATCTATGGGTCTGACAATTTTGTTCTTTAGTATAGTTTTAACCAGTTTGCTTGGTACTGAAGTCAGGCTTACAGGCTTGTAATTGCCGGGATCAGCTCTGGAGCCCTTTTTAAAAATTGGCGTCACATTAGCTATCCTCCAGTCATCTGGTACAGAATCTGATTTAAATGATAGGTTACAGACTACAATTAGCAGTTCTACAATTTCACGTTTGAGTTCCTGAATACCATCTGGTCCTGGTGATTTATTACTGTTTAGTTCATCAATTTGTTCCAGAACCACCTCTAATGACACCTCAATCTGGGACAATTCTTCAGATTTGTCACCTAAAAAGAATGGCCCAGGTTTGGGAATCTCCCTCACATCCTCAGCCATGAAGACCGATGCAAAGAATTCATTTAGTTTGTCCGCAAGGGCCTTATCGTCCTTGAGTGCTCCTTTAGCATCTCGATCGTCCAGTGGCCCCACTGGTTTAGCAGGCTTCCTGCTTCCGATGTACTTAATTTTTTATTTTATTTTTGCTATTACTTTATTTTACATTACATAAAACATTACATTATGTTTTGCTAAATATATTTCAACACACTATTTAACTTACTTGAGTCTACCACCCATCTGGCTTCCTTCCTCCTAGGAATTTTACAGATGCTAGTGTAAGATATAGGATACATTTTTTTAAATGAATAAACCAAAATATCTTGGTTACTAACTACTGGGCTTGAGAGATTTTTTTTGGGTGCTGGACAAGCCCTGAGAAAAAACTTTGGGCCTTCTAAGGGATCAAACCAACAGAATTACTGGACAAAACCGCTTGGTAAACAGGGAAGGGAGGTAATGGAGCCAAAAGAAACTACCACCACCCGATGGCAGTAGAAGGAACACAGCCTGGGAAACAGGTCTCTGTGGTCTTGCCACCCAGCAAATCCATGACATTTCCTTCAGAAATCCCCGTGGGAGAAAAATATTGCTTATTTCTGAATTTACTTTTGATCAGCAGCTTCCCCCACCCCCCATCAGCCACTGAGAAGACAAAGGCATGAGCAGGGAGTCAATGGCAACATGGATAGACAGGCCTTCCATGTGGATGTCATAAGACCCCTGGATTTATCTGAGGATCCTCCTCACCCTCACAGATGGAGAAACATGCCCACTCCTTATGTCTGGTCCACAAATCACTCCAGCCCCTCCTGAACCTGCATGAAGGGGGCAGAGAGTTCTATTTTCCACAGTTTAAAAGTTAAGGAAATATTTACTTCCCCTATGCATGTAGTTGTGTTGGAGGGGATGGCTTGCTCTATGAATACAAGAGAGGAACACAAATATACATATTAGCTGTTTTTTCTACACATATGCCACTAGTCTCTCACTGAAATAACCAGAGATTAAAGATATCCCTACTTGAAGATGGGAACTGTAGTTTGGTGCAATCTTTACTTCAGAGATTGTGGAAATTATACCTGCCAATGCTTCCTAGGTCTGCTTGATAGAATTACTGGTATTTTCAGCACTTCCTTCATGCTTCATCCTTTGCAAGAACCCCATTTTTTTGTTCATCACTTTTGATTTTTATATTAGATCACATTTGAAACTAAATCTTCTTAAAACAAACACAAAAAATGTGTCTGGCCTTTAGCTTTGAGAATGTATGTATCTAAAATACACACTGAACTAGTTGGTCAAAGTGATTTGCCTTCTTTTGAATATCTATCTCTCAGTGACTGTCACAACTTAATTAGTCTGCACAGTGTTTGACGAATTATATAGAACAGTGTTACCTAAAAAATTAACCCCTGCCCATTCCCCCCCCCCATCATTTTATAATTGTGTTTCCATATACATCTGGACATGGGCTTTATGTATGGATTTGTTGACTTCTGGCAGCAAGGAATTAAACAGGGGCTGTTCCAGTCAAAACTACACACCTGCAAAGATTGATTGGTGAGTTCCAGAATTTTTTTTTTTAACACATAATAGTGATCTATTTTGGGTTCAAATACACATATAATGTGATTTCTTTAATGCATATGCAGAAAGTTAAAGTTATGTGTATCAATGAGGGATAAAACAGTCCATAGTAGCTAAACTCTCTGAATCCTACAGCCTTTCTGGACACATTTGACCTATGTTGATGGAGCCATAAAATTCCTTCAGAGGATTTCTTGCCCTACAGAATTAATTCCACTCAGTAACTCTGAGTTCCTGGCAAAGAAACACACCCTTCCTGCAGGATTGGTGGGATTTTAAGGCTCCAGAACTGTGGAACAAGTCATCTCAAATACCATGTCTTCGGAGTCCCAAAGATGGGTTCAGTATTGTGATTAATTGCCTATATCTGGACAAGTTAATACCACCATGTTAGATGCAGAAGTCATGACTTCCAGATGATCGGGACCGTTTGGATTCTAGACATTTATTTCCTTACTGAGATAGAAAATATATGATTATTATATAGTCTAGAGTAGTACAGTGACCAACAGTACTGTGTGCCTAGTTTCACTGGTACTGTATCAAGAATGCATTTTGTTTTGTTGAAATGGTAAGTACTTAATGAAGGAGATGAATTTCACCAAGACAAAAATAGTTTCTTAGGAAAAATTCATAAATAATGGGGTTTTACAACTAAGAGGAAATATTTCCAGTTTTAGAACCAGTGCAAATAAATGCTCACTAATGTGGATACTAGTTAATAAAACTATGCATCTGTACATAACAGAGAGCAAAAGAGAAAATACTGGCAAAGAATGTGATTAGATTTGTTTTTTCTACCACAAATTAATGGTTCCAAATGAAGGACAGTTTCCCCTTGCCTCTTTAAAATGCATACATCATATTATTTGCTTCTAGGTTAGAAAGACAATTGGATTGTCAATGCTGAGTGACTAGTTACCCATATAAAAATATGGGGAAGTGATTAACTATTTTACACCACTCCAAATACTGATCATCTGGCTTTTATATTTAATTATGTTAAAAATAGCAGCTGATGCAAAGCCCATTGAAGTTAATGGATATCAATCCCTTGACTTTGCTGGGCTTTAGATCAGACCCATACGCACCATTTGATGGGTGTCACATTTATTGTGTCATTGTGATTCAACAGGTCTCCTATTATTTGGGTGAACAGAAGCTTGCCTTTATGGGGATTACAGGTAATGTATAATTAGGATATTTTTAGCAATTACATTTTTATAGCCGTAGCACACTTGGATTTTTAATACTTCCGAGAAGCTAATACACATATAGAAAGGGTAGCAAACAAAATTGTACTTCCTTGGAAGCCCACTATAGTGATAAATCTAAAATTAAAGTGAATGAAGAAAGCAAACTATGTTAAATGTTACACTACTCTGGAATACGTGTATTTATAGTAAAGTATTGTAGGTCAAGAGAAAATAAGAAAGTTTTAATATTCTGTAAGTATTTTTCCTTAGAACTAAATAAAGTCTATTGGACCCAATCTTGCAGCCTTTACTAAGAGCTTGTCTAGCCCTTTCATCGACATAGCGCAATCTACACCAGGAGTTAGGTCGGTAGAATTCCGTTGCTTAGGGTTGTGGATTTTTCACACCCGAGCGACGCAGTTATACTGATATAAGTTGGTAGTGTAGACCAGGGTTGAGTTTATTAAGGCCATGTCTACACTACCACTTATGTCAGCAAAACTTATCTCACTCAGGAATGTGAATATTCCACCACCAGGTGACAGAAATCACACCAGCATAAGTGGGAGCGTGCACAGTGCTAGGTACTGCCGCTCATTGGGGGTGGCTTAATTAGGCTGATGGGAGAGCTGACGGCACCGAGCAGCTACGAGAGATCTTACAGCGGTGTAGCTGCATCGTGACAGCTGTGCCACTGTAAGCTCTCTACTGTAGACATAGCCTGAGTTTCCACTTCTTTACCTGAAGATTAAGCTATTGTAATGGGTTCTATTTGGGATTATACCTTAAATCCACAAGGAAGCCAAAGCTAGTGCAGAATATGGCAGTCCACACAGTAAGTGGAGAATCTTGCTATGAGTACATTACACCAGTGTTTTGTTATCTGCACTGGCTGCCTGTGGGTTTCCAAATGCAATTTAAGCTGTTGGTTTTCACTCACAAAGCCCTAAGTGGTATGAGACCTGCCTATCTGAGAGATTGCCTTTCCTCACTGCTGCAGGAGAGATCAATGGCGGCACTCAAATTTGATCATCCTTCCCCTCAGTAAAGAATAATGGATTGCTACTGGGGCATTCTCTGTGAGGGGTCCTCTCTTGGCTTTGGCAGATGATCGCCATCCTGGTCCAAAATAGTCTGGATTTGTTAGCCTTCTGGGCACACTTCAAGAGGAGGGAGATATTGTTTAAGAAATATCATTTCAAGTTTCCTTTTTTTTTCTCTTTTAAATCTAAGTGGCACTATTATATAGTTTATTTAGTTGTATTATGTGGGATTGCTGCTGGCTCTTGTCTGTTATATGGCTTGTCTTTTAAGTAGGTGCCTTTATGGTTCCTAATCTAAAATAAATAAAGAAGTTATGAGATTTCAGGTGCTCAGCACATATGAATCGGGCCCACAGTTATTAAACTTTACATGGTTTCTGAAAATAAGCTATTGCTTCGCATTAAGTTAAGAGCAAAATTTTGAAGATAGTTGTGGGAGTTCTCCCTAAATAATTAATTTTTGTATTAAGGATTCCTGAACCATCTAGTATAATTATGCTATTATATTTTTGCACTACCCTCAGTACAAACCCGTTATGGTGAATTCTATCTCTGTGTAATACAGTTGTTTATTAAAGCAACATTTCTCTGATGGAGATAACTTTTGAATATTTGTTTAAAATATGCAAGGTCTGAGCAAATAAAGTTTGACAGACATATAGATTACTTATATTGAGACATAGCCTTAATAGTTTATGGTGCTGGTTTTAGGCTTATTCTTACACTGTAAACCTATGCTAGTCAATGAACACAGGAAGATAGATACACAAACACAAAATAGGAGGAGATATGTATATATATATATAGATATATAATGTTATATAGTAACAACAAACTAAATTCCACTTTTATGCAAGACAAAAACTTCACTTTATCTGGAGCAATGCTAACTACTGTAAGAGTGAAATGTTTTGGTGATTTTTTTTTTATATATTTTCAAATTCACACCATCTATTTTGAATCTTCATAATGTAATTTCAAGTGCAAGTAGTACAGGATGTTAAGCTTTCATTAGTAGTGAGCATTAATTTTAAATTAGGAATAGAGACTAATTTGATTCCAGACTCCAGATTAAGTAATACAAATGTATAAATAGTAAATGTTTTAATTTAATATATGCACACATTTAAGCTGGTTTTGTGATTAGTTTTAAAAGACATTGTGGAGTATATATGCAATGTGTAAACCAAATAGATTTTAGTAGTTTAAGACAGGTCACTGACCTTTTATATGTCCATTAATTCAACACACACTGATTTAAACAATGAAATTTACCATCTCTCTTTTGCTGTGTTTTAAGACTTTTTGGGGGGTAATATTTATGACCCACACACACTAAAAAAAATAACACTTCAGTGTAATGTTTGAAAAAGGTCATGACTTCCTCCCACCATTTGTCTTATTTTTTAAACACATTCCTTATACTCTGTCATCTCAAAATGGAACAAGTCCTGGAAGCTGCCAAAAGCCTGCCAGTTGCAGCATGGCACAGAAACTGGCTGCTTTTATTTGGCCTTCCCTAAAAACCCATGGAGAGAACATTCTGGAGACCTTCTGAAACAATATTCATGGAGGAGATTTTGAGGGCAGCGCCTAGCAGACAATAGGACTTAAGACAAGTGCAGGGGGTAAATACTAATGAATCGTTTGACAGGAACAGGGCTTTATTCAGCACATACTGTGGTAAGGAATTTTAGGATTAGAACCAAGCTTTAGTGGTTAAAGATGCTTTGAGAGGATTTCTTCACCACAGATCAACTAGTTTTGATTATTTTTAATCTTTCAGTTTAATTCTTCAGGTAATTTTTGCTTTAATTAATTACATTACTAACTCTGCATTAACGTATATATTTATATATCATGTTAGGTTTCAGTGGCTTTGATAAGTCTGTTTGAAACAATGCTGCTGGGTTATCTGAGCTACAAGGTAAGGCCAATTGGTTTTATTCTTTTGAATCAATTCTCCATTTGATAGATTTCTCTTAATGCTAAGGGGAGTTTACATATCCTCATTGACCAGAGATGAGATCCCTTTGTAAGTCAGTTTACTACTTACAGGTTGACGGAAAGATAAAAATGATCATCTTAAATTACTTGTGACTAATTGGTCAAGAAAAATGTTACTTATAATTACACTGAAGTGCATGACTCATTCATGATTTATGAAGTTTACAATGGGCCTGAATCAAAGCCCATGAAGTCAATGGCAGTCTTTTCATTGACTTCAGTGGGATTTTAATCAGCCCAATGTTTACTTACGAAAAGCTGAAGAGGACTGAGCTATTAGTATCATGATACCAAAAAGGTGAAGGAAGAAATAGGCATCCAGATGCTCAGCTAATGTAAGTCGGCCCCCCTCTGTCAAATTTAGTGACGCTAGTTCAATTTACACCAGCTGAGGACCTGACAAGTAGCATTGTATAGATTTGTAATGAATGGAATATAGATTTGCCAATATAGGCCAACAATCTGGGGACAAATTCATGTCATCTTTTTTCTGAAGATGCGCTATCTACATCTCCCAACAGGTGCCAAGGTCATTCAGGAAATGGTGATGATTCAGCAATTCCCTCTGATGCTGGAGTGGCACTAGGAAGCATTGTGTTGTTGGAAAGGAGCACTGTGTTGTTGAAAATGAAAACCATGGTCTTGACTGCTTTTACTTCATTGCAAATCAAACAGCACTTTTCAGAAGAATGGGAGTGTTAGGTGTTACATTCTAATTTGGACAATTGCACTCTGCTAATTTAAATGTTCACATCCTTTCATTTGGATAGTGCATTCTTCTTTACTTCCTGCCCTAAGCCATTGGACAGGCTTGCAGTTAACAGTAAAAACAAACAAAAAAACCTTCCATTCCAGCTGTGACTGCATTTCATTAGTGGGTGAAGTGATAAATGTTATTACAAGGAGGAGGGAGAAAAGTTATTCTCCATAGCCTCTGAGGATAGGACAAGAAGCAATGGACTTAAATTGCAACAAGGGCAGTTTAGGTTGGACATTAGGAAAAACTCCCTAATTTGCAGGGTGCTTAAGCACTGGAATAAGTTGCCCAGGGAGGTTGTGGAATCTCCATCATTGGAGATTTTTAAAAGCAGGTTAGATAAACACGGTCAGGGATGGTCTAGATAATATTTAGTCCTACCATGAGTGCAGGAGACTAGATTAGAGGACCTCTCTAGGTCCTTTCCAGTCCTACGATTCTATGATTTACGAACGTCCAAAGTGCTTAGGGACCCTTTGGGATGAAAGGCTGTAAATAGGCACCTTGGCCCAGATCCACAAAGGCATTTAGGCTCCTGACTTCCATTTATGTCAAAGAAGTTAGGAGCTTAAATACCTTCGTAGACCTCGGCCTTTGGTACTATTGAAAATCCCACTAGGCATCTTTGTTTAATTATCTAAATACCTTTTGAAAATCTGCTCCTTCGGCCAAGCAATACTGAACGGAGCAATGCCTAAATACCTTTGAAAATCTGTGACTAAAATTATTGCAAGAGGCAATTGAAGAAAGTAAATGTAAAGGTAAGAGAGGCCTACATTTGTCTCTGGGCTTAAATGGTATAATGCAAAAGCAGAAAGTCTGATCAATCTGTAGAGGATGGCATATTGTCTCAAACAGCCTTTTCTTGTTTCTCAAATGTATTAGGTATCATAATAATCAGAGCAGGGGACTGGAAGTCAGAAATCTTGAGTTTCACTTCTAATTCTTCCACTGCCTCTCTGTGTTGGTTAGGGATAATTTTTCAAAGGTGGCTTTTTTTTTTTTTTTTTTTTTTTTTTTTTTTTTTTTTTTTTTTTTTTTGGTATAGTTGTGTCTCTGTGGTCTTATTTTTCAATATGTGGAGTACCCACAGCTCTCTCTGACATCAGCTCTCAAGTTGTTGCTGCACAATATTTCTGGAAAACTTAAAAAAAAAATCAAGGTTTGGTCATCTGAAATTGGGCACACAGGAATCGAGGCACACACAAATAGAGGGCAATTTTGAAAATATGGGACCATATCCATCTGCACCTCAGCTATTCCAACTCAAAACTAGGGAACTTTGAAAAAGGCTTTGAGATCTGCTGATGAATGCAAGTACAAAATATTATACATTTGTCTTTGTTTTTTCCTTAAAATGTCAAGTTCTCTTTAGTTATATTTTTCTAATGTTTTGGTTAGAATTTCTTCACATAATTTGCCCTTTAATTTTTATTATATGCTATTACAGTGAATTATAAAAAGTCTGCATTTTGAGCTATTAGGATAAAACAGTAAAATACATTTCACCAAACAAAATAAGAAAAGGCTTTATTTTAAAAGTTTAAATATATAATTTTGTGAAATGAGAGCATTTTGTGCTTTTAATCTATGAGTCAATGGTATTTAATAACTAGTCAATCCATCAGAGTCACAGAGTAATTCTTTATTATACTTATCAAGTGATGATTGGCAGAAATGTTTTTCAGAGTATAACATTTTTAATAAGCTTCAAACTGGCTACTAAATTATACCTGATAAAAAGCAGCTAATACTGTTTATATAGATTAGGTGTTGTCCATTACAAATATAAGTCTCTTGGTGGAAAAAATAGCACAGTGAAAAACAACTGATGCCAACATACCATTTATAAAGCAGTGCCACTTTTCATTCTTAAGTTATTGGACCAGATTTTCTAGGGCAGGGGTCGGCAACGTTCGGCACACGGCTCGCCAGGGTAAGCACCCTAGCGGGCTGGGCCAGTTTATTTACCTGCTGACGCGGCAGGTTCGGCCGATCGCGGCCCCCACTGGCCGCGGTTCGCCGTCCCGGGCTAATGGGGGCGGCAGGAAGCCGCGGCCAGCACATCCCTCGGCCTGCGCTGCTTCCCGCCGCCCCCACTGGCCCGGGACGGCGAACCACGGCCAGTGGGGGCTGCGATCGGCCGAACCTGCCGCGTCAGCAGGTAAATAAACTGGCCCAGCCCGCTAGGGTGCTTACCCTGGCGAGCAGCATGCCGAACGTTGCCGACCCCTGTTCTAGGGCCTTGAACTTGCGTAGTTTACACCTGTGCAAATTTTATATAAACACAACTATTTTATCTAGCATTTTATCCCTACACCCACTTTGCACCAGTTTAAATGAGTACACAAAAGTAATGATTTATCAGTTCCCTAAAGTAGTTCTTTATCTCTCTGGAAAGTGGGTATAAAACTCTGCCATCCTGTTTTGGTAGCAATTTATATCCACTTCACACATATAGTAAATTATTATATGTAAGAATGGCCATATTGAGTCAGACCAACAATTCATTTGGCCCAGTATCCTTTCTTCCAACAACAGCCAAATGCCAGATGCTTCAGAGGAAATGAACAGACCAGGGCAATCATCAATTGATCCATCCTGTTGTCCACTTTTGGCAGTCAGAGGATTAGGGGCACCCAGAGCATGGGGCTGCATCCCTGACTATCTTGGCTAATAGCTATTAATGGATCTATCCTCTATCAACTTATTCAATTCTTTTTTGAACCAGTAATAGTTCTGGCCCTCACAACATCCCCTGGCAATGAGTTCCACATGGTACAGGTCAGTGGAGAATCAGTCCCATAGGATCTGATAATGAGAAGTTGTACATTTACTGAAGTGATTATTTTTATATCAGAGATCTGCATGGAGACTAACCGTCCTACTTGATCTGTTAACTTTGCAGATCTCACACAATAATACAAGTATAAGGTGGATAGAAAGCTGGCTAGATTGTCGTGCTCAATGGGTAGTGATCAACAGCTCGATGTCTAGTTGGCAGCCGGTATCAAGCAGAGTGCCCCAGGGGTCGGTCCTGAGGCTGGTTTTGTTCAACATTTTTATTAATGATCTGGATGATGGGATTAATTGCACCCTCAGCAAGTTTGCAGATGACACTAAACTGGGGATGGGGGGGGGGCGGAGAGGTAGATATGCTGGAGGATAGGGATAGGGTCCAGAGTGACCTAGACAAATTGGAGGATTGGGCCAAAAGAAATCTGATGAGATTCAACAAGGACAAGTGCAGAGTCCTGCACTTAAGAAGGAAGAATCCCATGAACCGCTGGGGACTGACTGGCTAAGCAACAGTTCTGCAGAAAAGGATCTGGGGATTACAGTGGACAAGTAGCTGTATATGAGTCAGCAGCGTGCCCTTGTTGCCAAGAAGTCTAATGGCATTTTGGGCTGTATAAGTAGGAGCATTGCCAGCAGATCGAGGGAAGTGATTATTCCCCTCTATTCGGCACTGGTGAGGCCACACCTGGAGTATTGCGTCCAGTTTTGGTCCCCCCACTACAGAAGGGATGTAGACAAATTGGAGAGAGTCCAGCGGAGAGCAACGAAAATTATTAGGGGGCTGTGGCACATGATTTATGAGGAGAGGCTGAGGGAACTAGGATTATTTAGTCTGCAGAAGAGAAGAGTGAGGGGGATTTAATAGCAGCCTTCAACTACCTGAAGGGGGGTTCCAAAGAGGATGGTGCTAGGCTGTTCTCAGTGGTGGTAGATGACAGAACAAGAAGCAATGGTCTCAAGTTGCAGTGGGGGAGGTCTAGGGTGGATATTAGGAAACACTATTTCACTAGGAGGGTGGTGAAGCATTGGAATGGATTACCTAGGGAGGTGGTGGAATCTCCATCCGTAAAGGTTTTTAAGGCCTGGCTTGACAAAGCCCTGGCTGGGATGATTTAGTTGGTGTTGGTCGTGCTTTGAGCAGGGGATTGGACTAGATGACCTCCTGACGTCTCTTCCAACCCTAATATTCTATGATTCTAAGTATCAGCTCCCCTTAACACTGTCTGCCAGACCCAATACAGATCCTGTGTGATAGGACACAAGCTTTGTTCCAACAATCTACAACATTGAGAACCAGGTAGCAGCAGGATCTGCATGTCCAGAATCCTGAATAAAGAACTTCCTTTGTGTTTGCTACATTTGTGTCCTTTTTTCTCTCTTGTGATGGACACTACCAATACAATGAAATCTGTAGCAGCTGATCATCCTTTGTTAGGAAGCATAAAGAGCAGTCCCCTAGAAAGTAAAATAAGCGAAGATATTTGTTCAGTAGGAACACATAGTGAGTGAGTTTAAATTAAATTTGAATTTCTAATTTCTAATTCATTATAGTTTTTTTATTGTGCCCACAGTTAAATACAACCACAGCCTTTAATCCTCCTCCTCCCATCACTTCTGTGTACAGTTACCACGCAGAACATTTAAAACTATTCAACTATAGTCTCATTCATCTGTCAAAATAAAATTATTCTGGCACTATAGCAGCAGTGGCTTCTGGAGATGAAGGTGTGTGTGTGTGTGTGGGAGAATAGAGGATTTCCTTTTTGCACAACAAAACTTGTATTTAGCATTCAGTGACTGAGTCAGATGATATAATAATGAGGATTGATTAATTAATTTGTTGATATAAATGTCAGATCATTTATGTCTATATTTTTAATTTATCCTACTGCTCTTCAAATTCTTGCAATATTGACATGATTTATTCCACAATGTAAATGCTGCAGTATTACATTAACTAGTATGAGCTTCATGAACTTTACCTTTGTGAAGAGTCACTGGGAGCTGGATTCACAAGAGGACTTGGGTGCCTAAATCCCAGAATCGGGACCCACTGGGATTCACAAAATACTGCTCAGCAACCCCCAAACCTTGTAGGTGCTTAAAATCACCCTGCACCTAATTTTTTGGCATAAAAGTTCCCTAAGGCACCTTTGCTTCTGCCTCTGAACATACACACTAGGTGCCCCATGCTAGGTGTCCAGATACCCAAGCCCTAGAAGAGCAAGGCACAAACTGGGGGAAGATAGGTATTCCTCTGCCTAACTCAGCTGCAGAGCCCAATCTGGTGAACAGGTTCAGACCTTGCCTGCTAGATTTGGCACGTCTAGGTGAGCTTACCCAAAACAGGGGGTGGGGAAGAGTACCTCCCTCTTAACCTTTATCCCAGCAGTGAGTGTACTCATCTGGGATGTGGGAGATCCCAAATCCAAGCTGTCTCTCCACCTAAGAGGGAAAAGGGATTTCAACTGGAGTCTGCTGCCTCTCAGGTGACTGCCTTAGTCACTGAGCTATGGGATATTCTTATTCAGGGCTCCCTTAGTATCTCCTGTTGAAGATGTTCCACTGTGGATAAATTTTAAAAAAGTCATTGGAGCAGGAGGTCTGGATCCTGGGCCTCCTGCATCCCAGGTGAGAACTCAAATCACTAGACCACAGAATTATTCACACACTTTCTTGCTCCTTTTGGCCCAGTGTTTAATCCACAGTTCAACAGTTTCAATACTGAAAGAATCACTGGGCCAAACACCATTGCCTATTCCACAGGGATAGCAGACTCCTGACAGAGTGATCTGGAGATAGCTCTGTGAGGAAAGTCTCATGGAGTTTTCCTCTGCTGCTGGCCCCTATTTTAATTTCCCCGATATATAAACAGAAAGCTGTCATGTTCTCTCATTTACCTAATCTATTGTTTGCCCCCCACCCACCCACCAGTAGGAACACTAGTGCCAAATCCTGCAGTCCTCTCTCAGGCAAGACTCCCAGTGACATCAATGGGAGCCTTGCCTACGTGAGGACCACAGGATTAGGCACTTGGTCTTTTCAGATTGTTGCATATTTGCACGTTGTTTGGGATGAACGGTCTGTACAGTGCAACTCAGTGAAAGTCTATTTCTGAAGTTTGGTATGTTTTTGCTGTTTTGAAAAGGGAAACATCTGGGAACAAGTTTTGCGAATACCCTTCCTCCTGGAAATAATCAACGCTGTCCCCTTTATCATTACAGTAAGTATCTGAATTAAGTGTCGGTGTCCATTCCTGGGTGGGATTATGGGTCTGCTCCAACACACACTGAAGCGAGTGGAAGTCTCTATTGACCTGTATGAGCGATGAGCAGGCCCTGTTGGAGAGGCTAATTTAGCAAACTATGTTTTTCTTCTTGAAAAAAAATATATTTAAAAAAGTCACACAGCCAATAATGCAATGAGCAAGATAAACCAGTTAGATGTAAAAGCAGAGAAAACTTGCATAGTAAAAATGTTATCTACACTGTAAACTACCTATCATATATATTATACAGAAAAAAGTAATATAGTTACCAGTTTTTACATCAGGAGTACACAATTTTATAAACACTGTATTGGATGTAGTTTCTTGGACAGAAAAGCTGTTAAGATGTATTTGTGTTTATTTCCCCCTCCTCAGATTTTCTGGCCTGCACTAAGAAACCTATTTATTCCAGTATTTTTAAATTGCTGGCTTGCCAAACATGCTTTGGAGAACATGATTGTAAGTATGACCAAAAATAGTGAGGAAAGAATAACTGTTTTAAAAAATATATCCATTTCTGAGTCTGCTGACTTCAGCAAGGCGGTTGCTTTCTGGTCAGGGAACTGCACTGGACAAATTTATCATGGGATTAATCACATTCACTATTCAGTCATGGAAATGCTTCCACATTTTACTGTATCACCATTTCGTATCAAATTTGGAAATAGTTTCCAATAGTTTCCTCAGTTGGTGGAAACTGGCACATCACTGACTTCCAACAAGGAAAGTTCCCAGCATGGCTAACTCGTATGCCACTCACATGTAGTCTCTCCACCAGGGGTCTAAGGAGCTGCTATGCTCCAGTTACTCCTGCCTGGCATACGGAACCGTTTGGGCCAGCTGATTAAATTTAGCGCAAACTCCAGGATTCTCTAAAGTATGCCAGGGTAGTCAAAGACGCAGTCACGGAAATCAGGGAACAACTGACTCCTTTGCACCACCCATTGTGCTCAGCAAATTTTAAGTGCGGTTGGGCCATTGTATCTTATCAAAATATCATGGAACTATTGTATAGGATCAGCAGATGCATTATTTAAAAAAACATAACCAACCTGCTTTTTCTATTAATATAGAATGATCTCCATAGAGCCATTCAACGTACACAGTCTGCAATGTTTAACCAAGTTCTTATTTTAATATCCACATTGCTGTGTCTTATCTTCACCTGGTAAGTAGCAGATGTTTATTACTATGTATTACATTTTCTAATTTAAGCACATCGTATTAAAACAGATACAGTGGAATATTGTTTGTTAAGAGATAATGTTGTTCCCATGCAAGGTTTTAATTAACAGGTGGCTTCAAGGCAGTGTTGGTGTAGTGGGGTTGGGTGAAAAGAGGGCTAGAGTTATTCTAATTCTTATGAAAATTAGACTTGTGCAAAAACATAAATAAAAAAAATACACTACTTCTGATCTCAGAGAGAAAGTTACTCAAGTACATTGGGCTCCCTGCACAGCTCCCCAAACAACTTGAGCCCTACTGTGGGGCTATAAAAGGAAAGAGGTTGTGGCTGGAGTGGCACCTAGTGGGGCTTCTGTGTCCCTGTGCTCTGTTAAGATGCTCTCCATTCTAGCCCTCATTAGACTTGTGAGACAGGTCAGGGAAGGGTCCACAGTATCAATACTTTGGCAACTCCAATGGCTCAATACTCCCATCAAAGGGGGTGCAGAGAAACTGATAACAGTTCAGCTCATGGGTCGAATAGCACCTGCAGTAAGGTAGAACTACACAACAGTGGCCTACCTAAGTATACTGACTCCTTTCCAACAGCAGAGCTCCCTGACAAACCCTTATTTCTCAGGCTGTTAGGAGGTGGTAGAGAAGGGGCAGTGAATGGGGAGGACCCTGTGCAGAGCAACTATAGTTCTATCATTATTTACTGTGCTAGCCAGAGTGCCTGTGGTGTCACTGCATTGATAAAGCTCAGTCTGTCATTCTGGAGACACTGATTTGATTTTCTCCTGCTTTATTTCTCCAACCTAATTCTTCTGCTAGCCACTGCTATATGACTTTCACCCTTTGGTCAGGATAGAGTAACACATGGCCTCTTTTAGTTCTGCCATTAATGTTTGTTCTTTAATCAGAAGAATTTGTGCTCTCTAGTGGCTCAAGGAATATTTCTATTTTTACTCCCTTCATTTACAGCCACATAATTGCATGAGGTCAGATTTTTTGGCTGAGTTAGACTGCACCATTTGACCCACACTGTACAAAATTAGGACCCTACCAAAAATCAGCCCACCCCCATGAAATCTGATCTCCTCGGCTGCTGGGAGCCTGGGGCTCTGAGTCCTAACTGCTAGTCCAGACACACTGAGGAGGGATAGGACTTGTCCTTCCCCTGTATGACTGCTCTTGGTGGGGAGATCAGATCCACCTCCAGAGGCAGCACGGGCAGTCCGGGAGCTGGGCTGTGTGCCTCCGTCCCCTCTCCCTCCCACCCCCGCATTTCCTGCCGCAGCTCTGGGCGCCGAGCTCCTGGCTTCCCCTTCCTCTCACAGCAGTTCCTGCTGGGGTGGGGGCTTCTGCTCCCAGTGGCTGCAGCTGGGGCAGACTGGGCTCGGGGCCTCCCCCCGCTCCAGCCAGAGCTGGGGGCTTCTGCTCCCCATTGCTCCAGCTGGAGCTAAGGGCACCCCCCACCGTTCTTCCACCCTATAGTTTCTTCTGGGGCTGGGGCACCCATTTTTCAAGTGGACCCCCATATTGGCCAGGGACCCCTGCCTTAATCTGTCACTGGCCTGGACTAGCAGCCCCCGGCTAGGGAACTCCTAGTAGCGTGGGGGAGATCCTACCTACCTCCACCTCCCAGAATCTCCTCTAACTGCAGGAAGCTCAGAGGCTGCTGCCTAGGCAGCAAAGAAGTGAGGGTGACAATCTTGGGACACCCCCCCACCCCACAACTTTGCAACCCCCCACGATCCCATTTTAGGTCAAGACCCCCCCTGGTTACAATACTGTGAAATTTCAAATATAAACATCTGAAATCGTGAAATTGACCAAATGAAAACCCTCTGGCCATGAAATTGACCAGAGTGGACCCTGAATTTGGTAGGGCCTATTCATAATGCTGTCACTGTAATACCGGGGCAGCCAATATTGCATCTTCAGCCACAGTTAAAGTACAATATAAAAGACTCTGTTGCAAGCTGTGCTTTAATATTTGTTACTGTCCAAAATTTCACTCAAGTGCTAGACAGAATACAAAGTATGCATCCACTTCACAGGGAAGCAAACTCTTTCTGGAAATAAAGCAGTTTCCCGAGAGCTTGCAGTGTCCCTGGTTGAACAAGTATATGAGCTCCATTTGAAATGGAACATTGTGTTCGGGTCCAGGCATTTTGGTACCGACAGTAAAACATGTAGAAAATGGCAAGCTGACCTACAGTAATTGTGTCTGGTTTCAGCAGTTGCAGATACAGACTCATTATAGATCATTATATGCTGACCTAGTGTTGACCCTGCTAGACAGAAAAATAAGGTAAATAAAAATGAAAAACACCCAATAACAATTGCTAAATGAAGCCCTTTGGGAGTGACTTGTAGTATTTGCTGACATCATTTGCCTAAGATGAGTCTTGTGTTGACCAGGAAATTGTTTATATTATTTATTTGAATGTACAGTATTGAGATTTATTTATTTTGGAGTAGCCATTCATATATGAGTTTACAGTGTAGAGCAGCACTGTAATGACTACTGAAATATTCAAACACACCATAGATAACATGCCAAACTCATCTCCGGGGTAAGGTCTTCAGTTATGTTATATTCTTGGTGCATTAGAGCCAGTCTCTTTCTTTAGGAGCTGCCCTTATTTATGGCTCAAACACAGGCCCTGCTGCAAAGCAACAGAGGGGAGTAAAATGCCCCATTGTGGGCCAAACCCTTTCTTGGAGAGAGTTCAAAAGCTGAAAAGAGAAGCTGCCACCAGGCTGCCATTTCACATCCTACACAGAAACAGGCAGTGGCAAAAGCGGCTCTGTCCCCAAATGCACTGGGCCATATACCAGAGCCAACACAGAACCCTTCTGCAGACACAGATTACACCCCACCAGTCCCTTGGATGGAACAGGAAGAATGAACCAAATAGCTCCCCCTTAAGCGAGTTACAGGGTTAATTACAATACAGCCCTTCGTACCTGCAGATTTATAGGTACTAAACACTTGTAGTTCCCATTTACTTCAGTGGGAATTGTGGATGTTCAGCACTTCTGAAAGTCAGGCCACTTGTCTTTACAATGCAGTGTATTAGAAGCCATGCTTATTTAGAAGATGCATGAGGATAAATAAATCCAAACAAGATATGAGGATAAATAAATCCAAACAAGATATAGTAATTATGGTAAATATGGTTTGAGGTTTTTTCTTACTTTACTCTGAAGATGAAATAACAAAATAGCTTCAATTGGTACCCTGATAACCATTACAATTTCTGGGAAGTCAAACCTTTGCTTCATAACTGATTTATAAGTATTGATGTATTACTTTACTGGTTGAGAAAAATGTGAGGTTGAAACCATATTTTATGCTCAATACATTTATGGGTTACATTCATAGAATCATAGGAATGAAGGGCCGGGGCGGGGGGGTGGAAAAGTATGGTGGGGGTGCTGAGAGCCATTGAACCAAACTGTAAACCCTGTAGAGGATGGAAACCACTTCAAGCTAGGGGGTGTGGCAGCCCCCTCCCCCAGCACCTCGAGTTCCAGCACTGATGTGTAGGGCTGGAAGGGACTTCAAGAGGTCATCCAAGTTCAGCCCCCTGCAGTGAGGCAGGACTATGTAAACCTGGATCATCCCTGACAGATATTTGTCTAACCTGTTCTTAAAAACCTAATGACTGGGATTCCACAATCTGTTTTGGTAATCTATTCCAGGACTTAAGTAGCCTTACAGTTAGAAAGGTTTTTTCCCCCCTAATATCTAAACTAAATCTCCTTTGCTGCAGATTAAACCAATTATTCTTTGGCCTACCTTCAGTAGACATGTAGAACAATTGATTGCCATCCTCTTTATAACAGGTCTTAATATATTTGAGGACTTGTCAGGTCCCCTCCCCCCCACAGTCTTCTTTCCTTGAGATTAAACATGCCCAGTTTTTTTAGCTTCCTCATAGCTTATGTTTTCCAAACACTTATCATTTATTGTTGCTCTCTGCTAAACTCTCATTTCTCCATATTTTTCTTTGAATGTGGCACCAACACCTGGACATAGTACTCCAGACAATGCCTCACCAGTGCTGAGTACAGAAGAACAATTACCTCCTGCATCTTGCATACGGCACTCCTAACACACCCCAGACTGATAATAGCCTTTTTTCAAAACTGCATCACATTTTTGGTTCATATGCCATTTGTGGTCTACTATAATTCCCAGTACTACTGTCTAACCCTTTATTCCCCATTTTGTTGTGCATTTGATTTTCCCTCCAAACTATAGTGCTTTGCACTTGTCTTTTTTGAGCTTCGTGTTGCTGATTTCAGACCATTTCTCCAATTTGTCAAGGTTATTTTGAATTCCTGTCTTCCAAAGTGCTTGCAGCTTCACCCTATGTGGCGTCATCTGCAAATGTTATAAACATATTCCTCATCTCCCCCCCCCCCCCCGCATGTTGACTATTCCTTATAACCCTATTTCCTCTAGGTGCTTACACATTGATTTTTAATAAAACTGTTCTAGTATCTTTCCAGGAATTAAAGTTAGTTTGACTGATCTAATTCCCTGAGTCCTTTGTTCCTCAGAATGTTTGCTCTTCTTTAGCCCTCTCGGATCTTACCCATCTTCCATGAGTTCTCAAACATAACTCAAATGGTTTCAAGATTCTTAGATTTCAATTAGTTCCTTAAGCCTAGGGTGAATTTCATCAGGCCTTGATTACTTGAATACATATAATTCATCTAAATATTCTTTAATCTGTTATTTCCCTATTTTCCCTTGTGTTCCTTCCACCTTGTTAATATTAATTGAGTTAAGCAGCTGGTCATAATTGATCTTTTTAATAAGACTGAAGCAATATAAGCATCAAGCACCTGAGCCTTCTTGGTATCTGGTATTAGCTCTCCTTCCCCTCTAAGTAGTGAACCTATACTTTCCTTCATGTTTCTTTTGTTCCTGATATGTTTATAGAACCTCTCCTTACTGCCTCTTTTGTACCTTAGCCTTTCTGA